TTTATTTATTAAATTTAAATTTAAGATTTTATTTAAATAATATTTTCACCCAAATTTATGATTTTCTTTTATTTATATTTTATTTAAGTAAAAGAATTAAATGATCAAATAAGTCAAAAATCCAACTCAAATGTCCATTGGTAAAAATAAATTATGTATATATTATTTTTGTAAGTCTTGGAACAAATCTAGGTTGGTGACCCGGTGGATACCTTGATGTGTGACATGAAACTTGTAAAGCCTACTATTGAAATTCATAAAAAAATAATAAATTAATAAATGAGTGAGGTTTGATGACAAATAGTTAGTAATGGTGTTGATGTCAATAACGGTGTTAGTATCAACTTTAAGTGAGGAAGGTAACTAGTATGAAAATTGAAAGTAGAAGGAGGATAGTAGGATGTTTTGGGAGAGTAGAGGGAGGTTTTTGAACGATTCAATGTACAGGCAGGATGATGAACAACAAAGGAAAGTAGAGGGACTATACTTGGCTTTAACCCTTAAATCTATGGTAGGCAACTTATTTACACTCTCAACCCATCATTAGTCACTACTTTCATTTATTAAGTTCTTTTGAGAATTTCTCTTTCCTCTCTCGTCCATCTCCATCTCCATCACTCTCTTCGCAAGCCGGTCCCGATCTTGCTCCCCTGAAAATTGGAAGCGCAATTCTAGACTTTAATCCAATCCAACACCAACCTTTCTATTTTGCCTTTCCCACTTTCCTCTCTTTAACAAACATTCTCCCTCATTCTCCCTCATTCTCCTTTTCTATATCTCCCACGAGATTTCTAATCTTCTGACCCATATCTTCATATCAAGCTTGGGTTTTGCAATAGACATAATTTTTTTTTTCTTTTGTAGGTGAGAATCAGTAGAGGAGAAAAATGGGAAGTAATATTATGAAAATTTCCTAATTTTCATGGAAGTATTTGTATTGAGGGTTTGCAGTAGGGGTGTTTGCGATGTGGTTTGGTTTGGTTTGGATTTTAATATTTTTTAAATCAATTCAATTTAATCGGTTAATAAAATTTTTAAACCAATTTAATCCACTATTATATGATAACCAAATCAATCCAAGTTGAATCAGATCGGTGTGGTTCGGTCGGATTAATCAGTTTTTAACATTATTAAATATATAAGATAATGTAAAAATATTTTAATATCAAATATAAAACATAATCATAAAACACATTAACATGCAAATTAGTAAAAACATAATAAAAAGTACAAATTATAAACGAGTTCTTATACTTCTTTACATTTGTAAAAATTGAAAAGATCTTAAAATTCTTCTTGGTTACATCACTAGAGGCACCAAGAACAATAAAAGATGACTTCAAATTTCTAGCATAGTATAAATAATTCTTAAAAATTAAAATTAGTTTTTTTTCTTAA